CGCCCCTGCCCCACGGAGCGAGGGGGAAGACGGGGGGCGGGGGGTGTCTGCTTCTAATTAAAGCTCCACGCTAACTAGTTTAACACTAAAGACATTTTTTTATATATTGCTACAGAAACATGTTGTACGTATACTCGTACACGATCAGGATGTTATATTGAGTGTTGAGGAGTTTGCTTTCCAGTTAACCGCTGGCCGAAGGATGACGTAGAAAGGAGTGTAGGTTTTTTACGTCGTTACGTTTGGCATTATTTTGGGCTGGCACGTTCAAGTGTAGCTTTACGATGAGACATTATGCAATTGAAACACTTCAATCTAAAGTCAGAAACGTACCGTTTTTTACTCTGTATCTCTAAATAGGAGGGATGCATCCCTTTTTTTTGCCTTAGACTGAGAAAATACTCTTGCTCCTGTCTTCAGATCAGAGAACACCACCGAAAAGTCAGGAAGGAGGCCAAAAAACGTGGACGCAAAAAGCCCAAGAAAGATCCTGGTGTTCCCAGTGCTGCACCATTTAAGGAAGAGCTTCTACGGGAAGCGGAGCAAAGAAAGCAGAGGGTAAAATACAATTTTGGTAAAGGGGACAAGAACTGAGACCATTCCTATCTTCTAGGAAGCTTTGTGTGTATGTTGCGTGCACATGTGCACGCCCAGAGGTGCAATCATGGTAGATTATACATGGTCCTGGTAGACATGTACTTTGGAAAAATAATATATTTATTTCCAGCATTATACAGTGTGTAACAATTATTTTTAACCTTCGTCTCATCACTGCGTGTATAAACATGCTGGAAGTGTCATTTTTAATGTAATCGGAATTGCCTGTGATGCTAAGATACATAGACGTCCCATCAGAATGCAAAAAGTTAAGTCTTGGCGTTACGTGATTATACAGAAAATAAGGGTCTGGTGTCTGCAGCGTGGAGTAATGTGACGTGAGAGCAGCACCCTTATCAGTTGTAATGTTGCTGCTGCACGGCTCTTACTTTGGGATCTAGCTAATGGATGTGTTGCCTCTGGTTTTGAGGCAATTGAAGGCAACAGTATTCTTTTCAGGGTAGGATGCAAAAAAAGTTCCCAGTGTCACTTGGACAGCCATGACTTCTAAATAAGCTGTCTCTGGAACTTCGGTCAGAAATAAGTAAATGGGGAGGAAGAACAGTCTTCTTACCACCTTCAAATGTGTTTTATCTGGCTTGGGGTTTTGTTTGCAATCAGCTTGAAGAACTAAAACAAAAGCAGAAACTCAACAGACAGAAAGAGCATGAAAAGAAGAGGAAGCTTGAAGCTAAAAAGAATGCAGCCAAAATCAAGGAAAAAGCAGAGGGAAAGGTAGGTGTCTGGTACGATTTTGATTCTCTGAAGCTTACAGAAGCAATAAAAGTCATCCTGAAACTGCATCTTCTTAAGCAGTATGTTACGCGTTACATTTTCATGTTGTATATGCACACAAGTAGAATACACTAATTCTCAGTTAAATCATTCCCTTTCATTTTTATTCGCATTCAGGGATCCTCTGGCAAATCTAAAGCAAAGACTAACAAACTGCTGGATAAAAATTCAAAGAAATCATTTTGCAGGGAGCTCAAGAAGGTGAGATGTTTCAACTGTTTTTATATAATTTAATGAGAGTCAGCAACGAGACCACTTGTTACTTTCCTTTTTTGCATTACTGTGCAGCTGCTAGAGAGTATAAAGGTTGCTTGTGATAAACTTCAACACTGAAGTAAGGGATTTTGCAACAGAAACTATGAGGGTTTCAGTCTTGTCTGGTGTGAGCTACTGAGACATCCAGCCAGCACTTTGAGGCATTAGACGTCTTGGGCCAATGTTAGTACATACTGAGTGATCAGAGAGCTCCTGTAGTAGTGAGGTGCTAGTGTCTAAGGATTTCTTGCCTTTGGACAAAAAAGCTGAAAATTGCTTGAGCTTTCTGGTTTGTAGTTCAGAAGAAAAGAGCTCAAACAAGAGCAGTCTTACGAAACCTCACCAATCATTCTATGAAATTCAACAGTAACTGTTGTAAGCCACAGCTATTTCAGAGTTGTCATCTGTCAAATGGTCTGTCGTGTCTGATTTGAGAGTCTTCTCTCTTTTTTCTAACCTAGGTGATTGAGGCCTCAGATGTGGTTCTAGAGGTTTTAGATGCAAGAGATCCAATGGGCTGCCGGTGTCCTCAACTGGAGCAAGCTGTAACTTGTTCTGGAGGAGACAAAAAGTTACTGTTGGTTCTGAACAAAATTGGTAAGAAGCACGGGTTTTCTTGAAGTGTTACTTGGTCACTGTGTGGTTCTGTGGTAGGTGAGCTATGAAGAAGATTTTAAAGGAATCTGAGATTCCATTGAAGACATAAGATCCAACTCTGAGCTCGCTGCCCTACTGAAGGGGTCACATTTTGTCCACCTTTTAGTCTAGTTTGCTAAGAAAACACCATAGACAGGTAAATGCACATTAGCCCCTTTCTTTTGCAATAACTTCTGAGGGCATTGGCCAGTTTCAGCCAAATTTGATGGAAGTTAAAGATCTTACAATTTTTAACGTTTTTGTGAATGTAGATGAGTAGGCAGAGGTCACAATGCTGGTCCCCGCTGAGGCAATGGTTGAGTTAAAGATCAGCAAATCAATGCAGTAGTCGTATTTGAAATTTGGCTTTGGGAAGTATTTTCTCGCTTCTGTTGCTGTTTGAAAGAATCCACACAAAAGCAGGTGTAACCAGCTAAAAAGGCTGGAGATTACTGGGTTAGCAGCAGCAAAAAAAGCAAAGGAAATACCAACAGTGACAGCAAGAGCAAAGGGAACTTCGTAGTAGAGTAGCCTGTGCAGGGATGATGGGATAATCCTTCACAGAACATCACTCTCTGCCAAAGTCTCCTAGCAAGACCCCAGCATTAAAAACCTGATACAGGGGCCAAAAATGTCATTGTGGTATGTTCTGCTTGAGGCAGAAAATAAAGACTGAAACTTGCAACACTGGGTGCCTTTGGGGAACATACCCAGTACTTCACTAGAGTTTTCAGCCAAACATTATTTGTCATAAAGAAACATACTAAATGGACAAAATACAGCCTGGTTCATGATCCCACATTAGATTTCCTCCACACAGTGGTATTTAAGATTCACAGGAGTGAAAGGACTGTGCTCTTTTTTCCAGATTTAGTGCCAAAGGAGAACTTAGAGAAATGGTTGAATTATTTGAAGAAGGAGTTTCCAACAGTTGCTTTTAAATCGGCAACAATGATGAAGGACAAGACTATGGTAAAAGCACCGCAGGCTGCCTCGTGACTGTGTCATATGTGTTTGCAATCATATGTGTTGAGAAACAGGAACTCTTGTTCTTTAAAATTCCTTTTTCCCCTTGATTGTACTGCTGTGACTGATGGATATGCCTTTGCACTTTGACTAAGCTTTGTGGTACTGTGGAGGAATCCTTGCTGTTGAAATACATGTTGTTTTTTGTGCCCAGGACGCTGGACTAGAGTAAAAACAAGTCTTTTTTTTTTTTTTTTTAACTGTAAGGAGTTTAGCGAGGGGAGGAAGATGAGAATTTTTTTCATGTTCTACATAGGATGGTTGCACCAGTTACATCTGAATTGTTTTGTAGGTAAAGTGGTGCAGGCGATGCTACTGCATTCATCCTGACTCTGGCCATCAGTAAAGGTAGCATCTGACATTATTTCATGAAAAGTATAAAGGGGTTAGCTCCCTGTGTCCTAGTCTCAACTCTTTGAAGATGCTCATTTGAGTTACACGTGTATTAATACATAATGCTTCACACACCTTAACCCTGATAACAGCATAGTGAAATATACCCTCCTGCAAAATGGTGCAGAAACTGCAATGCAGAGAGCAGGTTTTGAAATCCTTCAAAAAATTGAAGCCTTTTGAGTGAATTTGCAGATTTAAGGATCCTACCATCTGAACATACATGGTTATTTTATGGTCACACAAAAAATCTGCAGTACGGCCTGAACTGAAATCACAAGCCCTGTAAGTCAGTTCACATTCCTTTTTCTCTTAGTAGTTGATGGCTACCTTTTTTACTGTCACTTAACTGATTAGCGAATTTCTTATTAAACTAATTCCTTCTGTTTAGAAGAATGCATTAATATCATCTAATAGAGGACAGGAGTTGGAAACACTACAGTAGGTAAATAAATCTAAGCATACGTTATTTGTCTTCCTAAATAGCACCTGACCATGCGGGTTTTTTTGCCTTTGAATCCTGTAGCCGGAACAGTTCACAAAAAGACGTGCTCGTGTTGATTTATCAAGAACCACTGAATGTTTTGGAAGCAAATGCCTTTTGAAACTTCTTCAAGAGCACGGCAAGACTCAAAACAAAGTCATTCAGGTTGGGGTAGTAGGTAAGCATTTCGAGAGTTTCCTTCTCCTCCCATAAAGCTTTGGTATCCTGTATTGCAAATTGGGTGAAACAACTAACACACAACTTTCTTTTGGGCTTTCTAGTCATTGTTTTTATTTTCACCTAAGACTCACTATTGTAGTACTTCAGTAATGCTTCAGTACTTGACGGCAATCTATGCTGCACTTACATGCATCTAGTGTATGCGATCTGTGGAAGACACATTGTGTGAGGCCTTAGCTGATTCACCAGCTTAGGGAAACAAGAGAAGCAGGTTACATACCGTGCAGCTTGCACTGCCTTCCTCCTGTCTGGCAAGATTTGTGGTGTTACATTCAGTGATTTCTTCCATGTTCCTTTTGTTATCGGTGTGAGAAATGAGGATACAGACTTTGTCTTACTTCTGCAGTGAAGACTTCAGATCCAACTCTGATCTCACACTGAAGATGTACTTTACCCAAAGACACCTGGAAGAAGCAGTTTTGATCAGTGTTACATAGGCTGAATTTTCTTATTTAACTTACAAGGATTTATGTGGTTTTCTTCAGGTTTCCCTAATGTGGGAAAGAGCAGCATAATCAACAGTCTTAAAGGAGTTCGTGCTTGCAATGTTGGCCTAGCAAGAGGTGTTACCAAGTAAGCTGAGTCTGATAAAAACCTGTTCATTTCCCTGTTGTTGTGTTCCAATTACCTTGAATTTGTCACTTGTGTACAACTTCCATCCATTAAGGGCAAAGTATGCCCCTGTGTGCAGTTTTAAATGCACATTTCAGTTTGCCAGGATGAAAGACATTGATCTGTGTGATGCAAGCTGTCACGAGGGAACACAGTGTATAAACTTGCTCTTTTTGTACGTTTAGATTTCTGTCCTACGCAAAGCATATGATGAAAAAGCACTGAAACTGACTCTGTATGAAGTGCATTCAGTCCAACGCTGAGCTTTGTGTCTTGCATCCCTCACCTTTACCCGTCCTTTGCTAGTTGATTTGTCTTTATCTACTCACAGTGCATCTCTCTCTGAATAGGTCCATGCAAATTGTGCACATTGATAAGCAGACCAAGATGTTAGACAGTCCAAGTATAATTGCAGATCCTTCCAACAGTGCCCTGGCTCTGGCCTTGAGAAGTATCATAGACACTGAAGAATCGGGCTCAGCAGATGTGCTTGAAGGAGTAGATGCCATTCTAAATCACTGCAGTAAACAGCAGGTGAGCTCCATCTTTTTCCACACCTCTCACTGCATTTGCCTTCTCTGTAGGTTTCTTAGGCCAATAACCAAAGCTTGTTTCACTTCAACTAGTTCTGGTAGCTTTTGCACTGCTTTCCCCTAACCATAAAGAGTAGCAAACTTTGGTTATTGTATCCAACACTAAGTGTGATCTTTCATCCTTATAAACCGAAAGCAGAAACACATGCCAGGATCCTGTCAGCCAGAGTCTGTTTTCCCAATAACTTTTCTAATTTTTAAAAAACCCTTTTAAAGGGCTTTTAAGATCTCATCACAGTATCACAGAGTGAAAAATGAAGATATTCTGACTGCTTCCTATTACTACAGTGAAGACCTCAGATCCAACTCTGATTTCACTCTAGTTTCAAGTAGATTAGCCTAAGCCTAATTCCCATTCAGTTCTGTGGTAACTTTTTTCACAAACTAGTGTGCTGTCTCTGTACACCCACTAGTATGGGTGAATGGCAGATGAATTTGTTGATGAAGTAGGCATTTTGCTTTGTAATGTTTAGTCCCACATGCAAGAGAAAAATGGCTCTTCACATACTTGTTCATCCTCATTGTAACCCAATTTGATTTGCTTTTTTATTCCTAAAACTAAGAGAAAAGTGGGTATCTCTTTCTGAATGCACCGTTTTCTTTTGCACTAGGTAATGATGCACTATAGTATCCCAGATTTCAGGAACACTGAGGAGATTTTAACTTTACTTGCCCAGAAAAGGGGTATGCTGAAAAAGGGAGGTGTTCCTGACGTAGAGAATATAGCTAAATTACTACTTTGTGACTGGACAGGGTACGTATGCTATGAATTTTGCTTTATGCTGCTCACCTTTTTTCACGTCGTTAATCCAGCACAGCAGAAGCTCCCGAGTCCTGAGAAGTACTTAGAAAGGAGAGGCTGCTTTTTTTGTTGTTTTTTTCTTCTTTCTCACATTTTACTTTGGTAAAGAGAGCTGGATTGGCTAGCAGATTTAGAGAACACCATCCATGGATAATTTTCTGAAGTAGTGAAGGATGCATAGAAAGAGTCAAAGCACGTTGCACGTTACTCCATAGCCAGTTTGCTGACTTCTGCTATAACTCTGTTACGGGAATTTGCCTTCCTCCCAAATACTGAGAGCATGTAGTCCTCTTCTACAGACGTGAAAGGATATGGCAAATCTTCTGTAGAAATTTATAGTGGTTCCTATATTCTGAGGGTGGGAATAAATGTAACTCAGTAATTGAGTGTGACTTCTCCTTGCTCAAGTGGTTCAGCTGCTTTTACAGCTCATGATTTTACAGGCAGATGATTTGTGGTGACAAAGTATGCCATTTCTTTTTCCTCTCAGGAGTGGGCTATCCACTTAATACTGCTACTGACAACTTCAGAGTCAAATTTAAATAGCTATTTAAGGGCTGTTAAACAGATGATAATAAATGAGTAGTTAGGTTGAAGAGTTTGAGAGGTTTGTGCTCTGGGTTTTATTTTTAAATACAGTGATTTACCTATGTTATCTTTGGTTGTTTTTTAATGCTGTATTTTATTTTCCCAGAGCTAAAATAAGCTACCACTCACAACCTCCAGGATCTCAGAGACCACCACCATACCTTACAGAAGACAAAATAGCTGAAATGCAGGAGTGCTTTAATTTAAAGAACCTAGAAGAAGAAAACAACAACACTGTTCAAGGTAGGACTGTTACTGTAATGCACTGCTACCATTAAGAGTGGTAGTAGTAGTTTTAATGGGAGATTTTGAATGGAAGTCCTCCTGGGGTTTATATGATAGTTTTGCCAATATGCAGTGAATATGAACCTTTTAAGAAAGAAATGGATTCTGATGCAACAGAACAGTGCATGTGTGTGCTGTTTTAACACAAATTACCCCTGCTAGTTCTTAGTTTCTGCTCATCTGACCTAACCTTCCTAAATAAGAAACAGGGGAAAAGAATGTTGACAAGCACATAAACACTGGCTAATTAGGCCAACAAAATACATTTTACTCAGTGCAATCTGTACTCAAATCCAAGTCTTTCAGCTCCTAGCAGTCTTCTGTAGATGCCTCAGGGAAAGCTATTCTCAGAGAATTGTCCTTTGTTCTACCTGCTTATGTGGGAGTCTTGTGGAAGGGAGGGCGCAGGATTGTCTTTTTCTAGCCCTGACCTAAAATGGCTGTCCTCTCAGGGGGTGGGCATTACATCTGGTACTGTCTAACAGTGACTTAACAGACACTTCTTATGTTTTTCTCAGCTTTAAAATACCCCAGTCCAGCAAGTAGCATCATTTTCCAGTCAGCTGGTATGGCAAATGGGACAATAGAGGAAAATGAAGTGATAGAGGTAGCATCAGAGTGGGAAAACCTGGAAACAAGCAAGGAGGGGAAGGAAGAAGAGGAGGAGGATTTCACAGAAAGTGATGATGATCAAGACGATGAAGAAGAAGAAGAAGAAAAGGATGTCAAAGAGGTAAATAAGGGTTTCGTTAGGCTTCTTTTATCTGTTTAGATCCTGACACCAAGTACCCAGTGAGTACTGGGTTGCTGTAAACTGAGAATGTGTAGGCACTAGGGAGCCACCAGGAGTAATCAAAAAAGTCTTTCTCCTGGAGATAAGGGTTGGGCTTTTTGCTTAATTAAGGAAACAACATTGTTCTGAGTCAGTTCTAAGGCAGTGCGTTCCTGACCAACTCTACAAGGGGACATCCACATCAGTCTCTGTTAGCTTTCATTTGCATGGGAAACTTCATTAGTGATGTCTGAATAAACACATATGTCTGACCTCTCTGACTTGTAGGAAACCAAAGTTCAGGTCACCAGGAAAGCAAAACTTGGAAAACGACAAACAAATCCTACAAATTCAGAAAAGCAGATAGCAGGTCTGTATTAAAAACCCTGGCTTGAAGGACAGTCTCTAGTACTCTAGCACTTGCATTGGTTTCACTAACACGTCGTTTTCTTTTCTCAGAAAGTGAACATTCCAATTCACTATCATTCAGCTTGGATAAGACAGCAGATGAAGATGATGCCTACGATTTTAATACAGACTATGTGTAATGAATTATGTGTGAAGACGCTGTTTGGAGACTTATTACTGGCTTTCAGAACAGTCATGAAAACTTGTGCTGCAGCAAAAGTTGGAGGAATGCTGCATACCAGCGCTGTTTCGAAGATTGACAATTATTACTGTCAAAAAATGTATATAATACTGTATCTCCCTTGATTGTTCCAGATTTTATACAAGTCTAGGAAACTGACTGTATTCAGCTTTAAGTCCTAAACTTTATTTCCTGTATTAAAATAAAAGCCTATTTTAAAAATTTCCTAATAGACTTCTGAACATAAAAAGATGTTTCAAAAGGATAAACACTTTGTATTTTTCTTTGAAAAAAATGGTAAATGTTTAGTTCTAGTCATGTTTAAGCAATTAAATTTCAAAGTAAGTTTTCATCCTCCCTTCATAAAATTTAATTGTTTTTCCTAGAGGATTACAGAGACTGTACCCCTAGTGTGTGACTTCAGTCAGTAAGTTTTCAGTATACTTATGCAAAATGTAGAACTTGCATAAGTAAAGGTTCGCTAGAAGATGCTACTTATTTCAGCTAGACATAAGGTATTTTATCTAAGCACTGCCTTATATGTTCAGAAGTTTCACTGGAAAAGGTAACTGAGATTATGTTTTAGTAATCTGTCTTCACTAGGGAACATGCTTCTTATGGTGCTCTTGAACAAAAGACATATTTCCTGATGACACCTATTATACATGGCAACAACTGGTAACTGTAAAGCAAAATGTTGCCCTGTGCAGTAAGAACATGTTACTGCGCTCAGCCTATAGCAGAGCTAGGGTAGCAAGAAAATTACCAAGAGGCCCTGCAGCTGCTCAACAAATTAAGCATTTAGAATAAACGCCTGACACCAAGCATCTTCCTCCTCTGTGCCTGTTCTCTTCCTCTTAAAAGTCTGATTTCTGTGTTCTTTTCTTTAATAGATAGTTGTATTTTACCTAAATGTATGTTGACGCACAGTCCTCCTAGGCAGCTTAAAAAGCATCAATGAATGAAGTGCAGACACAGACGTGCAGTTTATCTAAGCCCACTAAAACACAGCCTGGTCATCAGAATTAAGCTGGTGTCAGCTGATCCAGTACAATCTTTCAAAGTTTGGTAACTGAACTTACTGCATTACTCCTAACCACTTCAAGGACAAAAATGGTTCTTGTTCATCAAAACCCAGGAAAACAAATGATCACAGATCAGCATCCATGACAGAAACAAGAACTATAGGCAGCGACTGCAGTGAGTCAAGCAGTTGGAAATCCTTTTAAATTATAAAGCAGTACTAAAACCGTATTCGTACACATGAACGAGCCCTTTAGCTCTCTGCTGCCCTGTATGTCAGACCACACAACACTGAGCCTGTCCCTGCATTAACACAAAGCCTTCTGGCTAAACATCTTGTACTGCGGATTGCTCACAAGCAGGATTATTGAATAAAAATGACAACTTGAGTTCAGACCTGTATTAAATGGAATAGCTGGCACGATAGCTGCTGGGGTATATCAGCTAATAATAACCACTACTCAAACTTAGCACTACAACTATAAAAAAACCAACAACTTACGGATAGAAAAGGCGATGGGCAACCGGCTGCAAAAGGGCACAGGAATCTCGCTTGAAGAGTTTAAAGGGCCGGAGTGGGAAAGGCACAGTGGGAAAAACTTCTATAGCACAGCCATGCTCACTTGAGAGAACTATGAGGAACTTAACAATAACAAAATCAGTCTGCAATTCATACAGCCTGATCCCCAAAATAAACATTTTGCACAATTTTAGAATGAGATTGCTTTCGCAAAGATGAGATCAATTGACTGTAGTTTCAATCACTTGCTACTGTATTTAAGTACAAAGGAAACACACTTCATATATCAGATCAAGACTAGAATCATATTGTCATTTACCTGAGGTTTGAGTCGACACGTTAAAATTAGCTTTTATTTTTGAACAAAGTTTTTTACAAAAAATGTTTTAGTGTTCACTGGCAGTTAAAACCACTTTGCATAGTGAAATAATACTTGAAAAATTCATCTTTCAAAAAAAACGATTCAATTTTGCAGAATTCTGCAAGACAAACACAGAAATGGTTGGGAGATTTCATGCAAGAAAGGGTTGTTGATGAAACTGTTTCACAGGATAAGAAAACAAAACAAAACAGAACAAAACCCAAGCAGCTCTTAATTACAGTACATTGCTGTGCAAGATTTGCATGGTGCAAGCACCAGCTGAAGTTGTATCTTGTTCTTAGAAACTGTTTCTTTCTGTAGCTGACAAAAATGCTCCTCCTCTAGAAGCCTTGTAGTCAAGAGCAGAAGAATGCACAACAGACAGAAACGAACTAACAAAAGTGCTAGTTTGTGGAGATCCTCCCTTGCTTTCTGCAGTGCTGCTGGAGTAGCATCTTCTGTCACACAAGCGAAGTGGGTCTCCTTTGGACCTGTGCCTTTCAGAACTGCACCTGAATAAGTGCATCACCTTGTGCTTCAGAAGGCAAGGGCTGCTCTGTAATACGAGTTGGCAAAAAAAAAAAGTTCTGCTTGGCTCCAGACGTTTCCTGAGAAAATGCCATCAGTTATTAGAATTGACTCTACTTTGCTTCATAGGCTTCTGAATGTCTGCGGATCAGGCTGAACTTGCCTGTAGGGTCAGGGACATACCACTTCTCCCAGACTTCAGCGTATGAAGCTGTTCTTCCCCATGGTTTGAAATGTCCATTCCAATGGAGCAGCTTGGCAGCTTTCACAAACTGAGGAGAGTACCTTTTTCCAGCACTAGACCCTTTTATTGAAAAAGAAGCATTAGTGCCTGAAATAAAGGCAGCAGAAACACCAACATGCAACTTCAAAACAAAGGATTTTAACAAAGGAAATCTTGTCATTTATGGAGAAAGGAGATAATATGGGAGGCAGAAATCAGGGCAAAGTGAAAAACATAATCAGGTGCAACTGAACGCCACTTTGATCTGTCTCAGTATCCATTTTAATGTACTGCCTTAACTTCCAAGTTCTTTAAAACCCCTTAATACCCAGATGTATTCAGCAGCCTATGTATTGTTCACTGGAAACAAAACCTAAGAAAGCTCTCCCAGCACTGGGGTTTTACCAGTAGCAGAACAGATATGAATGTCTGCTCCTCTCAACAATCTTGGAGGAAACACCTAGGACCACTTCAGACAAATATGTATGTGGAAAAAGAAAAGGAAAATGAGAAGTAATTTGAAAATAAGTCAATTCAAGAACTATCCCCCTAGCAGTTCAAAAAAGAACATGAAGGATCAGGCCCACAAGCCCCAAGATGGTATTGCAAAGCAGTGTTTCTTAAAGAACAAGGTATAAAATAGGGGAAGAAAAGGTCCATTTGCTGCATCATCAACTAGGTGTCCAGCTACAGACCTGGAAAAACACACTGGGGGAGCAGTGTCACAAATGTTTCATACATACCGAGATGCCGGACATTCCACATGGGATCAATACTGGAATGTTGCTTGTAAAATACAATTAGCAGTGGAGGTGTCGTGATGCTGCCAGCCAGAGTCCTACTGTAAAGTTCCTCTCTGGAAGAGAAGATGAAAAGAAGTTGGGAAAGGATGCTTGTGGGGCCCTAAATCAGTTGATTTTCACTTGCAGCATGACAGGAATCCACAGACACACTGACAGCCCTTCATTTAACAATTAAATGCCATCACCATAACCCAATCCCTGACCCGCTGTCGCCCCAGCTTGGGGGTACTTACGCTACATTAAGTGCCATCCACTTCTCCAATTGCTTGGTGATGTTCTGTAATTTCCATTCTGTCAAATTGGCAACAAAAACTCCTGGATTGAAAGAGCAGGTGTTGGCTTTCATGGCAAGCTTTCGGATGGTTTCTTTTTTGTAATCTAGAAACCCAATGTAATTATACTGGGAGAAAAAAAAAAAAAAGATTAGAAATTAGCTTAAAATATGGTCAAATCACTATTTAAAGAAAAATTTTGCGCAACTCCCAACAGACAAGCATAACTTGAAGTTGTTAAAGCAAATACCCCTTCCTTTAACACAAGAGAAAGAAAGCTTAAGAGATCTAACATTTTAAAGATATGATTATATAAACGACATACTTTAAGGAACGCTGCATGGTCTTAATAATACCATATTATTCATATGGTACCACTCCCAGAAAAAGTACTTTTTATATCTCCCTCTGATGTTCTAAGACCTCCTGCGGTTCCACACTGGGAATCACTCTCATTGTAAAGCACAGCAAAAATTCAAAGTGCTTTTACTGTGCCTAAACAGAAACTGCAGGTGTCATTTGTAACACAAACATCAGAGTAAATTGATTTGGGTAGGGACAGTCACACCTTTAGGTTCACTGCATTTGGAAGTCAGCCTGCAAGAACATTAAAAACGAGCGCCTGTTTCCAAAGCCTGGGATCTATAGTATTGTTATCACTGAATCAGAATAAAACTAACCTGATTGCCTGCTCCACGGACAGCAACTTTGTTAGTGGTTGAGTCACAATCATCTGAAAATGCAGCTGCATGTCCAGGTTTCAATGGAGTGTTGTAAAGTTCAAGAATATCATCTGAGAAACGGAAGCAAGCACAGAAAAATTAAAAGCAATCCTGATTAAGCGCCGAGTGACTTTTTGTTCAGTCCATTGCTACAGCAGATAAAACCACTCAGTTTAATCCAACTCATTCATATTTACAAACTTTTTACATCTTTCCTTGAAGTAGAAGGTTTTGGTTACTGTAAGAGATGGCACACTAACCTCAGCATAAGGCCAGTGGCAAAAGGCTAAGAAAAGGTCCCATACCTTGCACTATTATGTCATCATCCACATAGATGGCCTTCTCTGCATGAGGTACCAAATTGGGCAAGTAGAATCTCGCAAAGGTTAACTGTGAAAACAAGAAAGCAAGGGAAGTGAGGAATTAAATGAAAAATTGTCCAAATAAACGTGAAATTGACTGATACTCCTGGCACTTATCTATGGCACTAATGTCCAAGACAACTTC